CCTGCTCCTTTTAGTGTTCAACTGGAATAGGCATTTAAAGAGTACAGTGATGTTCACCTTTCTTTACATCTTCAAGTGAAGGAGAAATACATATTTCTCCTTTGCATGGAAGTGTAGATATATATATTTTGACTTGGCAACCATTGATCCTCTGGATCATGGTGTATGTATAAGAGGTCTGTGTGACCATCACACTAAGACTTTCAGGATGTACACCTAGGCAAGAGCATGAAGGCGTGGAGGCTGCGCTAGATCTATCATCCCCCCTACTTTAGACCATCAAGACAGAGTCTAAAGGCCAGACTGAGTCCAGATGTTCAGTGCCTTGATGGTTGTAGCTTCTGCCAGAAAGAAACAGATTACAGCTGTTGCTCCTGCCTAGTGCCTCAGCAAAGGCACATTTCTATCAGGGTGGTGTCTTTTCTCCAACCAAGGAGTACCTACCAGGCAGTGGGGACTAGTGTTTTGAGGTACGTACTCTGGAGGTTGCAACATTGTGGTATTTTCTAAGAACTACCCTGCCAGGAGTAGCCCCACCATGTTGCCACCAGGCCCGTGTACAGGGTAAGACCCAGCATTTCCCAGATGGAGATGCAGGAGTGGAAACCTGTATTACATGGGTAGCTGCTAGGGCTGTGCGAAGCTTCAGTAGCTGATTCAATTCAGAGGAGATTTGGCACTATTTTGGGGACCAAATCTCTGAATCCGAATTGAATTGGGAGACCAATTAACAGCTTCAAATCGATTCGAAGCATCCGAATCAATTTGGAAAAGATTTGGTGATTCGGCCATAGACTAAACAGGTAGTTGACACAGCTGCCTCCAGCTGGTAAGTCTGTTGGCGTTGGGGGGGGTGGGATTGGGGCTGGGACAAGCTGCCCAGACAGGGCTGGGGGCATAGGCCTTGGGGAGGGAGGTTGGGCGGGGGGTGTGGGATGTGGGCGTGGCAGCGCTGGGAGCAGGGTCTATGCCCTGCTGCTGCTTGCCCAGCCGGGGCGGGATGCGGGTGCGGGCGTGTTTGTGGGTGAGGTCCAGCACTGATGTGGGTGTGGCAGTGCTGGGAGCAGGGGCTCTGCCCTACTGCCGCTTGCCAGCTGGCACGGAGGGGCATCAGCTGCCTGTTTAGTCTACGGTTGAATCCCTGAAGCAGCTCCACTTCTTTCAGATCTGATTTGGCCAAATCGAAATGGAACAGTGATTCGAATCTCTGAATTGAATCACTGTCTTCTGAGCCAGCCGAATCCAAATCTGAAGCAAAAACTTGCTGCTTCGCACAGGCCTAGTGGCTGCATCCCTGGCACGGAGGGGCATCAGCTGCCTGTTTAGTCTACGGTTGAATCCCTGAAGCAGCTCCACTTCTTTCAGATCTGATTTGGCCAAATCGAAATGGAACAGTGATTCGAATCTCTGAATTGAATCACTGTCTTCTGAGCCAGCCGAATCCAAATCTGAAGCAAAAACTTGCTGCTTCGCACAGGCCTAGTGGCTGCATCCCTAGTTCTGCTTCCTTTCCTGTTGATGTGAGCAGACCACCCTTGAGAACTTACATGGGCTTTTTTGAGTCCCTGATGTAGGTGAAAATATCTCTTCTCCTTCCCTTTCCCTTTTCCCTCCCCCTCCTGCCACAGTTGATTTCCTGCTGTTCTGGGGGCTGGGAGAGCACCAGAACTGTTCCTGCCCAGCCCAGCTAGGCAGTGCAGGGGCTGAGCTAATCTGTGGATGAGCTGGCGTGGGGAAGGGGATCCCTCCCTGCCATGGGCGACTGGAGCCGCCTTAGTCGGGGGGGACGGACACACATGTACTTCAAAATAAAAATCTTACGAATTAGCACCTGGCTATCCTTAGTTATTTTGCTTGGCTGTTTAGTCACATTTTCTATTTGTTTATAATTAAAACAGATTAGTTAGTAACATTTCTAGTGAAACATTCATCCTGCTTCCACTGCTGTTACAACATCTATATAAATCTCATATCGTCTTGAAGCGTCACATAGGAATAAAAAGCCTTTCATTAAATGTTGTAACTGACATGAGAGCCTTAAGCAGCTGCCAGTTTCTCTTTGCTTAGTTCTATAAAGTCAGCAATATCTAGTGGCATTTGTCAGGAGAAGTAAAAATATGGATGCTATGGGTGACCTTACA